TTTTCTAACCTTTTTGCAGAACCCCACATCAGAATGGCAGGACTATCTATTTAACTGCACAAATTCACTTTCTGATCTAAACATTTAGTTAAAAAGATTAGATGCTTACTCTACAGATTTAAAGCTTACAATATAGATGAAGAACCATACCGATGCATGTTGACTGTGAAGTATGCAAAAATGTAGAGAACATTTAAACTTCATACTATGGTATCCTGATGCATGCTCAATAATCCAGGTAGAAAAATCCAAAAAAGCTGTGATTGCTAGTATCACTCAGCCCTCTGTGAGTAGTAAACAGCCATCAGTGTGCTAATGATTCATTGTTAGGCTGATGGTCCTTCTTGAGCATGTGATCAGTTGGTTTTGGTTGTCAGCAACAAAACTGGTTGATCCACCCTGAGAAGGTGCTATTTAAGAGACTGAGCTGAAAACAGCACCTCAGATTGAGGAAGTCTCTTGGATGAGAGACGAAACGTTTCTAGATTTTCTTGCGTTGTTTTGTTTTTTGGTTGTTTTTTTTTTTTTTGAATGTCCAGAGGACCAGATTGAACTTTTTTGGATTCATACTATGTTTTTTTTTTTTTTTTTTTGTACATCTCTCAAGTTTTTGTTTCCCAAATATTTCCTTGATGAAAAGTCCCTCTAATTTCCAGGATTTTAATTACTTGGGAGGGAATTTTCTTATCTTACCTTTTCTTATCATTAGGATACAGAATTGTCTTTTTATAGTTTAGTTTATTTGTATTTGTATTTGTATTTTATACCCCTCCCTGGGCTGCCACCTTACCGTGGTGGAGGGGTTTGAGTGTCCCAATGATCCTAGGAGCTATGCTGTCAGGGGCTTTATGCCCCTAGTAGGGTCACCCATGGCAGACAGGTCCTAGGTGAGGGACCAGACAAAGTGCAGCCCAAAGACCCCAATGATGAGAAACACAAATGGACCTAGTGTTCCCTTGCCCGGACGTTGGAGCCAGGCCTGGAGGTGGGGCACGCGGGCGAGCGCCTGGTGGCCGGGCTATTACCCATGGAGCTCGGCCGGGCTGTGTTAAATGTTAAATTAAGACTGGTACTGCAGACCAAAAACCAGTGTAAAC